AGATTAATTTTTAAAGTCTGTGTATCATTTTGTCACATGCATTTTAATACCTCTCAAAGAGCACTCAATACACTTTAAATATATGCACAAACAGCGCAATCGTGTTTTGTCAGTATATTGAATACTGAAGTCCTAGGACTTTGGTTTTGAGTTGAACAAAATCACTGCTTTCTGTTACTATACAGGCTTACAGTAGCTTTCATAAAATGATGCTGTTCTACACCAGGGCTCTACGCTGGTATAGTTGCAAAGCCAAAGCTCCCTCTCTGCAGTAGAGCTCAAAACAAAATGTTATCTGTGTCTTCCCTCTCCAGCGTCTGCAGTGAGGCTCTGAGTTATTTCCTCACTCTTACATCAGAAAGTCATCGGGAAGCCTGGACTAATCTATTACTCTTATTTTTGACTAAAGTCCTGAAGATAAGTGATGAAAGGGTAAGTAACTGTTTGGAATGGCATTTAAGACCACGTTTACAGGTAAGAAGTAGTTCCAGACCGGTTCTTCACACACAGTTATATACTTGACCTTAAAAGCTCCTGCTGCTCTGTAGACGCTCTTTGTTGGGGGAGTGTACGTTGAAGCTGCACTTGACAGATACTGACAGTAGTAATGCAGAGTGAGGGTGCAGTGAGTGATAAAACAAAATGCGTCTGAGAAAATGTAAAAGATGCTAAAATCCTCTAGAAATGTGTGTTAAGTTGCTTTTACCCCTCTCCTGCTGAGGAAGAGGATTAGTGGCTGATTTTTATTCAAAGAAGTAACTCCCGTTTCTGCTTCCACTACTACATGTACATCACCTTAACCTTCTCCAAAGCAATTCTGCAGTAAATAAATCCATATTTAGATCTCCCTCTATTTCTAACAGAACTTGGCTGAAGTATAAGGTGAAAGGGGCCAACTACAACAAAAAACTTAACTGATAATAGAAAAATTCTTCCTCTTGAAGAATGAGCGTTAGCAAGGAGCTGTGTGTAGCTAGCGAGCATCTGTCAGAGTACATCACAGCTGTCTTAGCCTTATTCTAGCACTGCTGGCTTCAGTTACAAAGATGTTTCTGCTTGTCCCTTTGTGGGCTTCTCCCCTTGACTTGGGGAGAGTGTTTAAAATTCTTCACTTGCAACACGCTTCCTGAGGTGTATTGATGCATAATAGCGTAATTTCTTGTTTGTTTTCTCCTCAGTTCAAGGCTCATGCCTCATTCTACTATCCTCTGTTGTGTGAAATTATGCAGTTTGACCTTATTCCTGAACTTCGAGCTGTTCTACGAAGGTTTTTCCTGCGGATTGGTGTGGTTTTCCAAATATCCCAACCACCAGAACAAGAGTCTGGAATAAGCAAGCAGTAGCAGGTAGTGACTGAGCATTGCTCCGTTGAAAAGTTTATACTCCTCAGCTAAATGAAAGGACCAGGTAGCTGAGCCATTCTGTCTGGATATCCATAAAAATGGTTTCTTTGTACGGCAGTGTGTATCTGAGGGTTTAACGGTACAGATGCTTACAACTGTAATTAAGGCTTGCAACACTCCAGTCCCTGTATTTCCTGATGGATTATCTCTATCGGTTTCTCTTACCTGGCTCATGCTGAGCACGGAGCCAGTTTTTAGCACAGTCCTCTTGTCAGCGTGGGCTGCAATATCCTTTACTGTCCTAGACAGCAGTATAGCAACAGATGTTTATGGCGGGTGTGAAAGTAAAATGTACCCAAAGAACTATATATGTAAAGGTTTGAGCTTCTGCAAGAAGTACAACTCAGGAGGGCTGTATTTTGAAGGATAAAATGTTTATAGTGAAAAGAAAATGGAGATTATTGTTCATGGTAAAAGATATTTAGCAACTATGTCTGATATTCTTATTCTAAGATTTTTGCACACTCAGGCTGTCTGAGACATCGGTAATCATCCTTCTGTGAAAAATGTACAGAGATGCAGGTCTGTAATATAAACTCTTTAACACTATACAGTTCTTCCTGAATTGTTTTATTTCTGTATTATTGATTTGCTGAAAACCCATAACACTTCATTGTTTACCAAATGCACTAGAAGTTTGGGTTTATTTTTTGGGGTTGTGATTTTTTTCTTTTTTTTTTTTTTCTTTCTTTTTTTGGTTTCGTTGTAGCCCAGAAGTTAGTGTTGCTGACTTTTGTCAAGAACAGAGGTAGAAATATCACGACTGACATAACTACCTGTAATATACTTGTTTTAGGGCTTTTAAATATAACGAGCCATTGAAATGATGATCCTTCAAGGACTGGAACTTGAATCACTGCAAACAAGTCTAGGTTGTGTCTGCTGTCAGATGTTTTTTGTTTGATGTAGATTTCACTCTTATGTACAGAATTTAATGTTGAATATATTCAAGTAACAAATCTGGCATGGTTTGGGGATGGTTGAATTTATTGGAAATGTATTCATACTGTGAATTGTGCTCCGATGGTTAAAAGACAAGATTGTCAAGCATTCTGTATTACAATGGATGTAGAAATTTTTTTCAGATGGACAAAATGTATATGGTACAGATATGTAAAGTTTTCTATGTAAAAAAAAAATTCTGTACAACTTTCTGTACAATATTTGGTTCTCATCTGGCATATTCTAATCAGGTTATAGGTCAATAAAGTTTTTGAACTCTTTCATCAGTGCAATCAAAACCAGTCTAATCCACAGCTACTTGTTTTACAGTTTCCTTTGCCTCTCATGCTCTCGTGTCAAAGGAACAAACCCCAGCCCTCCGGGGGCAGAAATGTGGGTGTCCTTTGGTTGACTAGGAAGTGTCGTCTTGCTGTTAGGCAAATACAGGGTAAAAAAGAATGGTAAGTTAAAAAAAAAAAGGGGGGGGGGGGGGGGGGGAAAGAATAGAAGTGCTTGTAGGTGGACTAGTCAAATGAACCCTATAGTGCTGCACAGATAGAAATTCGGATACTGCGTTTTGCTTTCTGGGGATTAAAATATTAATGGGGAACAGACTATGGAATAAGGGTGGATGGGAGGGAAAGGCTGGGATTACGGTTCATCTGACTGCTGACTCGTAATGCATCAGCCAGCTAAGCCTTGTCAGCACCTTTGATTTTGTGAGTAAAAGTGGAATTGGATTGTTCTCCACTCAGGACTAGCAAAGGAGAGAAGCGTGAAGACTGAAAAAGTGGATGAGGGAGCCTAATCTGGGAGAGGGAATGAATCTCCCTGTAGCTGTTCACAGCAGGCTCCAAAAATAAGCGTAAGCAGTTCACTGAAATAGCTATGGAAAAGCCAGTGAAGGGAATCGAAAGGCATGACCTGTGACTAGGAGTTCTCTCATAATGTTAATTGGGGTGGAGCAAAACCAAATTGCATTTATCAAAGTCAGAAGGGGGAGAATTGAGGTTATTTTAATTATTTGTAATTGTATGGCCTTTCCTCTTGGACTGTATTTTATTTTTTCAGTTTGCTGTGTAATGTTTAAATCTTAAACCGCTGTACTAGGCCAGACCTGAGGTCTTGTCTGTTTGACAGTGATCAGCAATAATTCTTAGAGTAAGTATAATGTGTCCCATCCCTATTGATGTCGTACTCTCCCCCACGCCCGTGGCAAGCAGTGTTCTTGGTACCGTTATCGAGGTGTTCCTGGCACTGCTATCCCGAGCGCTGTTTTAACAGCCAGTTATGTATCTGTTACCCATGTGTCTGCCCAATTCCTTTTTAAATGTCTCTGTTCAGGATTTGGCACTCAGTGGCAGTGAGTGCAATAGACTATCTAAAAAGTTTGGTAGTTTGAGTTGCTTTTTGTTTTAAACCTTACTGCTCCATTGTTCTGTTGTGTACTCCTACTTAGTAATGACTTCTTTTACAGTGTGACTTTCTCATGCCTTACCTTATTTATTGCTTACGTGGAAAAGGCCTAATAGCTGTTTAGTCTTGGTTCATTGGAAACTGAACTCCTGTGTCGTCATTACTCTTTTCTGTACCGCTCTTTAGTTCTTGCAGTGCCAGAACTGCACTAGCTGTACTCGGGGTATCACGTTCAACTTGCAGCGCTCTAAACACTCATGTCTACAACTATCAGAAAAGCAGGTCGGGGGCAGGAAATGGGTTCTCTTTTAGTCATCTCAACTTTGAGCTCAGGACTGCAGCTGCATTTATTTTGCAGATGAGACTGTCATGACAAAAAAAAATAAAAAATTTAGGAAGGCAGGCAGAAACACCCTGCCTACACCTGAGCTTTGGATATGCAGAGAAAGCTGAAGGAAAAGATGTGGAAAGGAAGGACGTGAAGGACCAAGAGTATCCTGAAGAGCAGCCTGCATGCCAAAGGGAGGACAGCTGTAAGGGAGAGCGTAATTCACTGTGCTAAATGCTGTTGAGCAGTGAGGTTAAAATAAGTTAAGTTCAGTGGTTTCAGGTCACTGCAGAGGTGAAGGAAGCAACTTCAAGGGGGGATCTGGAGGAATCGAATGCCAGCCTGTGACGGTCAGTCACATTTACAAAAATTCTTGCAGTCAAATGAGGCTGGCTTTTTAGGATAACGCTAACTTTATGCTTCTATTCCAGAAACTCATGGTAAGAATTAGTTGATTTGGCACTTCCTCTCTGGGAAGGAGCATGCTAAACCCATGAAGAAGCTAAGCACAACACAATGTTGACATACATCTTTCGCCTGCCATCATCACAGAATGGCCGTGGCCTTCAAGCAGGTAGACAGAAGCTTGAAGGTGGCATTTTAGTAAAAACAAAGACATATTTACAAATGGGTTTCATCGTTTGTTTTTCCCTGCTGGTGAGGCTTTGGCCCCTGGGTGGAAATTCCTAACCAAGAGGAAAGTCACAGCCTTACCCTTGCTTCACCTCGGTGTTTCAGTTCACTCAACTCCTAAAATCTTGCTTTCATCTACACATCCTTCTTGCTAAAGCTCTGTGCTTTTATTCGGCAACTTTTCCAGACAGCCTTGACGTTCTCGTTTGTTCATGAACAGATGTAAGCTGAAGCAAATGATAAATTAAGAAAATTGAAGTCTGCTTTCACATTTTTAGTAACAAAATAATTTATTAACTCTTAAATCAGAACCATAAATTAAATATATGCAACAATATCTGTATTTCCAGCACATAACAGGTTAGGGAACATAAGATACATTGCTAATAGTCATTTTTCCATGAAACAGTTTGCTGAGCTTTCATGCAGGATAGCACTCATCGCCATATGAAAAGCAAGTGACCTTCTCCAAGGTACTCACTCTTTTGGTAAAAGCTTAAACTGCACCTCTGCTGTTGAGTTACTCTATTTCCAGACAGTTTTGGAGTTTGGCTATAAACAAAGCTAAAAATTAACTTTGATTTAGTATCAAATTCACACACACGCACCCCTCCCCCCCCCATTTTTGTGGCAAGTCCAGTGCTGAGGCTGAAACTTACATAAAAAGTGCAAAAACCACCAAGCTATTCCTCCGCTTCCCCCATCATGTAATATAAAACATCCCTGCTCTACATCTCCGTTACACTGCAGCTTCTGTTACTTTATTATTGCTGTTCTAAATTGTACATACAGCCCCACGCTCTGCACAGGGAAGAGAACTATCCCTACAAGAGACCCTGGAAAGTGCAGTAGTGCTGACGGGTCCCTCCTCTGCTGCAAGGCACAGCTGGTTCACGCGGGGGCTCGAGTCAGCCATGCGCGGTCGAGAGGCCTTGCCAACTAAGCGGTAGCGTGTTTTCGGGTGAAAGCTTTGCTGGGCTTGACTGTTCAGCCATGAGCCTTTGGAGCGTCTCCGAAGTTCCTGGTCGCAGCCAGGGCTCTGTTGCAACCGTGTCAACAGAACTGGGCCGTCTGCCAGCGTTAGATGGAGCGTGCTTCAAAAGGTCATCCGCTTCTCCTAAGGAAATGGTATCGCCTGAGAGAGGAGAGCAATGTACGTATGTTAAAGGGGACAAAAGCTTATCGCATCTTACCACAACATTTTGGTATATTGAACAGGCTTATTTGTCTGCAATAAATGCATAAATAATGCTTTCAAATTACATTCGTTTCTACTTAACACGAATTTTTGATGTTCTGGGGAACTGGGCCCATCGAGAGTCAACAGCTAGACTCCCAAGTCTTTGATGTCTAGTGCCAACAGCTCTTCCCCCTGCCAGATCAGCAAGGGGGCAATACAGGCAACCTCAGGTGGACTTGGTAGAAGGTTCTTGCTTTCCTGAAGCCTCCCATTATAGCCACGAGTCAAATCTGTCAGTGCATATATGCGTAGAAAATGCATATAAAAATAAGGCCATTAAATTACAGTGTTATGGCTAAGTATAGACAGTCTCTTACTCAGGAGAGAACTCAGGAAGAATTATTTTAACGCTGGTAAACAGTGCAAGTGCTAGCAAGTCTGTACATCACAGTCCAGCGTAGCAAGTAACGTTAACGCAATGTCCTTCTGAAATGCATACTGGGTAAGTAAGTCAGTCGTCATCTTCCAGCTACGAAACAAACCACACCAAAAAAACCTCCAAAAACCAAAACAGCCTTGCCTTTGAACTTGGGGTCGTTATCGCTCTGAACTCTACTATTACTTTGATTCAGTCGGCAATCATACGTACCTAATACTTTAAACAGATAGTTTTTAGTGCAGATTATCAAACAATATAAATTTTTATTATATATATAAAATGATATAAATGTATCATTTCTCTGTGCTGTTCATTTTTTTGATTCACAACATACAATTTTTACATACATAAACCCAAAAAATAATGCAAAATGACCGAAAATTGCAATGTTTTCCTCTTTAAAGGTGAGTCATGTAAATGAGGACATTCTGGTTTGTTGGGGTTTTTTTTAAGCTGGGCAGAAAAATGTTTGAAGACTCTGGATTAGGAAAAAAAAAACCACAAAATTTTTGCAGAAACATACTAATTCCAGTAAAACCTAACAGAATTGTGTATTCTTTAGTGATTAAATACTTCACTTAAGCAATTCGTAAGTGTCATGTAATTTAAGTATTTGGATGATTTTTCCAAACTTCAGGGTTTTTATTCTGGAAAAAAGTGATGACTTTAAAATCTGATTTTAAACCAAAGCTTCTCTGAAGCTTCTCGTTAAAACTTGAAAGCTGATGGTCTAAGCACGGGTGTGAGAACCCAAGTCCTGCAGAAGCAGCAGCCAGGTCTGTAGACGTGAAGGGAAGGACAGAAACCGCGCAATCCCACATACGTGGGGCGCGAAGGCTCAGTTTTTCCTCTTAGTGCCTAAGGCGGGATGCGGGTTCTAAAACAAAATGCCAAATACTTCTTGTTCAAAAAGAACTTGGCAGTGAATCCAGTAGTTCTGTCACATCATACAGACAGTGATCTGAGCATCCTCCAAGCCTCCTCAGTCTGGTTAAAAGAAAACTTCTCTGTAACTTTAAAAGTGTAAACAGACCTCCCTCTCCCTAGGGCCCGTCCCCTCCTGTGCTTGAGGCTGGGTTTAAGGGTGGCAGTGAACCTCTTTGACTCTTAAATCCTGGGTCAGATGAACTCTCCTGTGGGTTGGAACCCGCAGTTTTTACATACGTAAGTTATTGTGGGGTTAACAACAGTACACAGCAGGAAAAATAATTCCTAAAGAAAATTAATTTTCTCTTTGCTATCTCTTTGCATCTCTTTTTTTAAGAGATGATATTTAGAAACAATAAAAATAAGGTAATGTGTTTGTTTAAAAACAGACAAACTGTGGGCTTTCAGGCCAGAAGGCTGCATTTCCCCGAGTTTAACTATTACTGCCTTCAGACAAAGCCATTGGATCTTCCAGCAGTCAGAGGTAAGAACAGCTGTTTTGTCAGAGATAAGATCACAGTGCACATCGCTACATCAGACTCATTTGGTGCTGCTTTTAGAGCAGGAGTTACTACAGTAACTGCTCATCAGCTCAGTTACAGTACAGAACTTGCTTCATCATGAATTTCAACACTTTATATACTCCATAAAAAACCTGCTCTTAATTGCGCCACATATAAAGAATTTTCTTCGGAGTTGCCACTTGACAATTCACAGTTTGTATCTGGAGGCTGGGGGTAAGTAGAGCTCTTTCCTTTGCATGAAATAATACTGATTTAGAAATTGAGTGGTGCCTGGACTCCCGCTGAACACTTGACAGCAGCACACCCTAAACAAATACTGGCTGCAGCACATCCTGCCCCAGATGAGAACAAACTCCTTCAGCGCCCAGAGTGGGTATTAGTGTTTGCCGTCTGTCAGCCTGCGCTTACCGGGAATGGGCCCTGCTGCAGATCATCGCAGGCACCAGCATTCCTTTACTTAAAGGCACAGAGGAATGCCTAAAAAGTCTCAAGCAATTTAGGCAACTTCTCTTACACATAGCAGGGTCTCAGCCACATACCTAATGTGCTCAAAGCTGTGAGAATTCTCTCTTCTGTATCCGAGTCTGCTCTTGTTTACGCAGTCAGGAACACGCATACATTGCCCGCTGCAGAAAGCAGCTGCTGGCTTGCAGAGACCTCACCGCCCAAAGTACTCACCAAATCTACATTGATGGGAATGTTTTTTTGGGATGGGTGAGAACAGAGGAGGAGGCCTGGCTCCAATATGCACTAATTTTCCAGTTAAGAAAATTCTAGGGTGGCTTTAGGATTCTCACATCAGTCCCATAAAGGAAAGTGCACTGCTGTGAACAGAGCCTCCTGACTGTGCCAACAGGATCAGCTCTTAAAATTTATCAAAGCCTGTAAATTGCCATCTCCCGGTCATTTAAAGGGAAGATGATAACCAGTTAGAGTTCCTTAGTTACATGTTTGACAGAGTTGTTTTCTCCCAGCAGTGTCTCTGAGGGTGGAGGACAAATAACAGTCCTAGCTGTTAGGAAAGCAAGAGGATGCCACAAGGGTTCTATCAAACTGCTAGGGAAGAGGAATAAAACCACTTGGCTTCACTCTTTTTTTTTTTTTGTAATGTCACTGAGTACAAGGAGGGAACAGCAGTGCAGCCCTAACGACCACCACCGAGCAAAAGGATCTGTTAACATTTCCAAGAGGCACATATGCTAAGCATGAGTGATGGTCCCCATGTGTTCCAAAGAACAAGCTACATACAGGCGTATAAATACACACACACACAAATTATATATATCTAAAGGCTGACGCTCTGGAGACCGTGGCAAACAGAAGGCAAACAAAATAGCAAGTGTAGTTCACGCGATATGAGGTGAAATTATAAAAGAGGTGAGATAGAACAAGGGCAGAGAAGTAAAAGAAGTTCACATAGCAAAAATGTTTGGGTGGAGTAAAATTAGTAAAGCGTTTGTTTAGATTATAGAAGAAATGAATATGAATGGGGGTTTTTTTTAGTGACTTAAAAATCACAGTGAGATGGTTAAAACAAACAAAAAAGGATGAAGTGCTTGTAAGAGTACCCATAGCAACAGAATCAGAAAAACTGTCAGCATCTGCACTCTCATTAAGTTTATAAGAAGGATACTGATACTGTAATTGCCTAGACAGCATAGCAACCGCCTCCTAAAAAAAGGGAGATTTCAGACTCGTATGAAAGAATCATTAGCACAAAGTGTATCAACTGGGTCATAATCCATGTGAGAAATTAAAGGCCATTAATGGTTGCCATAATTGGTACCTCACACGCAAAGTGGATCTACGTCAGGCAGTCAGCCTATGGAGAAGCTCTGAGATAACTCCCAGAGTTTGATGTATTATACAGTCACAAGACATACATGCTTAATAAATTCAAGTGCGTGTATAGTGAAAGAGGTATCGATGGCAACCTCAAATACTGAATGTTCATTTGTGTTAACAAACCAATAGAAAATCCAAACTAACTAGAAATTGAAGTACTTCTTTATACCCAATTTTTTGGCGTATCTTCACGCTGGTTGGACACAGACATCCGATTCCTAGGAATGCCAATAAACTCACACCCTATCAACATTCATCAGTCAGGAGTTTCATTTCTTTCCACTAACATTTCAGCTACGCAGCTGGATATCCGCATCTTACTGCTAGCAGTGACACATCGCAACTTTAAAAGCGGTACAGACAGGACAAGCGTGAGTGGCTGATCAGACAGGAATTAGAGCATCTTTTCCTATTACCCTCCTCTAAACTTACTCTAAAAAGCTGTGTTGAAGTTTGCTGGGGAACCTCTTGCACCAGCTACAGAGCTCTATAAATAATTCTTATGTTTGAGCCAGTTGCTCACTGTTCAACTACAGGCAGTCTATTAATATTTGTTCCTTTAATTATTGTAATTACTTAGTATTCACTGCATCATCTCTACTACACAGAGCATACCTAAGTAAGCAGATTTCTGCTGGAGCTCAGTCAGTCTGTGCAATCGCTCTTCATTCTTGCCTTTCAACTGATCAACATCGAGGCTGAAGCTCGAGTGCAAAGAAAAGCTGTCAGGCTGCGGCAACGGTGTCTGGCCCGGTGGAACACCCTCCTGCAGAAAATCCCAAACCACACAAATCCTTCAGTTAAATAGCATCCTTTTTAAAAGGGCAAATAGCTATACACGTACACTCTCGGTATCCATATCATCTAGCCACTAAGGAACCTTTTAAAAGTACACTCTCAGTATCCATATCATCTAGCCACTAAGGAACCACAGGAACTGTCTGACGTTAGATCTGTGGTCCACCTTCATATTTAAGCCAATCCAGTTATCATACATACAGCACACTCCAAAGCTTTTTGCTTTATTCGTCTCCTCTCCCTTGCAGAAGGCGGAAGCTGTGGTGATAAATTAACTTCTCCTAAGGCAGGAAACGTTTCCCCATTAGCACCTGGAAAAACAGGTGAAATCATTTTCAAAGAAATCAAAATACTAGACAGTGTTCAAACCTGTTTATGTTTTGAAATGAGCCAATATATTGTACTTGATTTCATCACAGGAATCAAAGGAATGTATTCATTAGGACATCTTGCGTGAAGCCAGTGATAACCCAGATGCAGACAAAAGAACAAGGTACCACAACAGCAGCAAGGGATGAACTTCAAGCAAAGGCGAGGAATATCTTGAGATGCGTATTGAGATCTCTCTTACGTAGAGTAAGAGTACTGAACAATTCAGAGTACTGAACAATTCTGCAGCATGTCTGAAATGACATACCGTGACATTAAAAAGAAACCACAACTGTGGAAAGAATGGGTTTTCATTTCCTAGCAATTTGAAAATGAATTTTAATGAAATATTTCATATCATTCACGAGTTTCAAAGATCTTCAAATGAAATTTTAAAAGTAACAAATAAACAATTATTGTGGCTGAAAATTGAAATACTTAGGTTTGAAAAATAAATTTGACTGATACCAAGGAAGCTCAGAGAAACAAAGACAGATATTTTAAAAAATTCTTTCATATTCCCAGTTGGTTTTCTCCTAGAAATAAAAATTTTATTCCCCTCTCCTCTTTTCCCTCCCCCAGTTTCACCAAAGGTACTCATGCTCTCATCACAAATGTTTCAAGTAAAAAAATCAAAGCATAATTTTGAAATGGCATATGGCTAACAATCCACTTATCAGAATTCTAGTTACAAGATCAGTTGAACTTCATTATATTCAAAATAGTGCTATTACTCAGAATACAAAAACTTGTTTAATCATGTGAATTTATCAAAACAGAAACGAAGTACAAGCTAAAGAAAAACTTATTTGTACCTGTAGTGTTTCACCAGTGTAAGATGCTACCTGTTCCTTTAAGCATCTATCATTCAGACCGCTACGCAGACGTGCTTTCAAATCACTGCATTAACACTAATGAATTCTAGGGTTTCAAGTGAGGCAAAAAAAAGGAAAAAGGAATTGGTAAACCTCTTTATTCCTAACTGCCTCAAATTTCTGAGACCTAGGAGATGAAGACGAATTCATTTGTAATGCTGACATCTATTATAAAATTGAGTTAGATTTTAAACCCATGTCAAAAAAATAGAAAATAGAGGGTAGTGTTACGCTTTTCTTAGGAAATGAAAAACATTGCTAAAGTACACCACAAGTATTTCACAAAAGACCCTCAGACAACGCGAGCAGCACAATTCACAGAGAAGGCAGCCCACAGATAATGAGTTTTTATTTTTCATTTCGGGGATGGAAGTCACCAGATTCATATTCAGAATTTCAATAGCTATTTATAAAGCCCAAATAATGCAAAGGGTAACAAAGTTTTAGTTAGTGCCTACGGCTCAGTATTGGGGAACGTGCTTTTCAGAGCCATAAATGATCTGGGGAAAAAAAGAAAAAGAAAAAAAGGGGCGTGAATAGTATCATAAGTTAACTCCATCGCTTCACTAAGCTGCAAGAATCAGCTGGAGGGGAAGAAGGAGGAAATAGGAGAGAGGACTATAAAAGTCACGAACCTTGTCAAATTGGTGAATAAAACCAAGCAGCACCCCATTACACAGGTGGCAGACTCAGAACAGATGAAAGGAGATACTTCACCCAAGGCATAGTGTGGAAATTTATCCCCACAATACTGCTGATGGTAAACAATTAGAGGGATTCAGAAATGCTGATTCCGATTCATGAAAGACAACCTATTAAAGACCCAGCTTAGCACGACTTATTAAATGCAAACACACGGCATTTGGCTCAGGAAGCCTCTGAGCTACAAGTGACTGGAGGCTGGAAGAGTAGTCCGCAGCATTGCTGCATGCCTGCCCTCCTCCTCATATTCTTCCCCATGCGCCTGTTCTGGCTCCTGTTAAGAGACAGGATATTTGGCCAGATTCTAGACTGATGAGCTCTCATAAAGCATCCTTTCATCATTTGGCCTGTAAATAATAAATAGTATTTCCTAACCTGAAGAAGAATGTATTGCAGACTACAGTGAGTACCAAACGCACTGAACAAGCCTGAAAGCCCCATCCTGTGTGCCCTTCCCAATGCCAGGTTATATCCTGTACTCCAGGACTTGCACGTTAACAGAATAAGCTTGAATACATTTCAAATGAAAAATTCTGCTTTTAACCAAAGCCAGAGATAGCAATCATCGGTATATAGAAACATATCTAGTTTCATTAAAAAGCACTTGCAGGAATCTACTGCATCTCCCCTACAGCAAAGAATAAAACCTCGTAAGATGATTTCCCATAGATGATTGAAGAGAATTTCAAGGTACTGTAATGCCTGCTAATGGAAAAATAACGTGTAGAGGCCTGAGCTGGTTGGTTTTTTTTTCAAAAAAGAAGATAAGTTCTAGCCTTATTATTTCTAGTGACTGGAAACGAAACACATCTGAAACAGCACCTTTACATACACGCATATAAAGGTTGAATAAAGAGACATAAGACAATGTGAGACATAGTCCTCTATACAAAAATCTTAAGAAAAGGAAAAATCATCTACTTCAGATGATTAAGAAGTGACAACGTTTACAAGTATGATGTTGCAAGTTATGTAATGTGTGAACAGCAGAAAAGTGAGTAATTTAGAATGAATCACCGTTTTATACCCATATAATCGTACTTAAAATCGAGCACGCTTGTAAAACAAAAGAATAAAAATGAAAAGAATCGCTGGCTGCCCAACACACTTATATTTCACTACGGACAGTTTGTAATTGTAAGCTGTGCTTGCTAATAAATTATTTTATTTGCTGCAGAACAATAGAAGAGCATTGCATATTCTACCATTGTAACACATTAGCTGAACAAGTATTAGCTCTTCCTTATGCAAAGCTGGGAAGATGTCAAAAAAAGCTCCTTGACAAGGCTAACATCCCAGTCAGAGCACAACGAGCACGGAAAGATGCCTTCTCCTGAAAAGATGTGAAGTGGTATAAGGCAAGTGAGCAGCATCATTAATTTTAGGTGTGACCTAGACAAATTGATTGCAGTACAATTACATAAAGATCTGCGTTTTAATTTGGAGGCATAATTTTCTAATACTTTAAAACAATCACCATAGCTACACCCACTGCAACTTTTAAAACAGCAATAACCATTTTAGACACACATCATTAGATTAAATGACATGTTTGTACACGCATAACGCGGTTAAGGGGAGGTATAAACTCACCAATAAAAGCGCTATCCGATTCCAACAGTGAATTTTTCAAGAATTCATTAGATTCATTCCTGAACTACAGAAGTGAAAAAGAAGACATGCAAATTCAGATGCCTCAATATCTTTCTGGGGCCAAATTATAATTAACGTAAATTAATTGCCAAACTTCTGCAAAGCAAACAGCAGCTCTACAGTGTTCTGTACTATTCCATACTTTATGGCTATAAAAAACCTAAATACTTTTAAATAACTCATGTTCTCTTTAAGCATTAGGCGGTTTTTTTTTTTTTTTTTTGTGGTTCCACTTTTCCCATTTGCTGAAATTGCCTACACATGGCAACTGTTGTGGTGATTTGTGTAACAACATCAAGAAATACATCCTTGTCACTCCGCTTGAGTTTCAGAACAGTCAGCACTAGGAGTGAGCTTTGCACCTAAGGTTTGTATAAAGTATTGATCAAATGAAGAATGATTCCTTATGTTTCACTTATCCCACCACATACAATCTTTGATATTAAAGCATTAAAATAACACATTTCTTCATAGTAATAACAAGCACTAAGAGTAATACTTCTAGTTCACTGCATAGTTGCAACCATTTGTTACAGAAATTCTACTATGGAATAATTTATGTTGAAAACCACTCTGAAATCAAAGCAGTAGAAACTATCAAAGGAAACAGAAAAAGAGAAAACAAATTTTTTACTGCAAAGCATTGCTCTGAAGAAGAATTTCAGGCAATAAATTGCAACTATAAAATGCATTAAGGCAATTTTTTTTTTTAAATAAAAAATGTTCCATTTCTGCATGTAGTTACAGTATTATCCTTGAGGCTAATGGCTTTGCTCTTGCACAGTCTTCCATTTTGTATAGTTTCACATTCCCATGAGACACAACTGAACTCTGTTATTCTGCAGTTTGGGTTAGTGCGCAATTCCAATTCGATAGCACTTTATTTCGCTCTTTTCACCAAGTCAGAAAATAAATGTCCCATTTGAGACAACGGATCTAATTATTGACTGCCATCTCTGCCATCACTTAAGCCACCCAAATTCAGAGCAACTGCTTCTGGCTTGGCTTTTTCTACTAATTCCCACCCCCAGTAGCAATCTAACATCATATGAATATAAAATAAGTACCAACGAATATAAAAGAAGGGAGTTAAAGAATCAAACTATCTCTATATACAAAGATAAACAACTCGTACGTCAAGTTTAAAGAAGCTGTTACTCATTGTATTGACAAGCAAGAGAAGTAAACAAGCTTGCTGTCTTGTTACTTAAGTGTAATTCCTTTCTCCAAATCTGTGCAAGACACAGTATTTCTCACACTTGAAAAAGGCAAGGTAATATAATTAAAAAACCTGTTTTATTCTTACCAGTCCCATGGTTTGTGGGTTACCGCCAGAAGCAGAATCATCTTGATCAACAAAAGCCACATAGACAAGGGACAAAATGATAGTATTGACATAAAAACAGTTAATACTAAAACATATTAAAAGTTTTATCAGCATATTATTACAAAAATGAAGACCACTACGCATTACTTCTTTAAAACTACACACATTGTAATGAATATTTTTAAAACATTTGAATGCAATGTTTATACCAGTTTCCTTATGCCAGTTTAAGTAGAATCAAAGAAATGAAACAGAACTCGGTAGTATATTATTTCTAAGAAAGCTGAGCATGTGCAAGCCCTTCTTAAGGCTGGATTCATCAGTCTCTCCCAAAGAGCAAACATACTTTTCACACTAGAACTATACTGTTCATCGCTAATAAAAATCAACCGTTTCCCATCTTGTTCAAAACCCGATTTGTTTTCCAGAAAAAGGAAGCATAACTACTTTTGCGGCTATTGAAAACCAATTTTTTTTTTTAAGAAGATATAATCACACTTCATTAAATGCTAAAATTGCACTAAATTATGCTGAATTCTGAAAAAGTTCTCTATACTGCAACAGTCAGAACTACTTTTGTGCTATGTTTACAACAATATTGTAAACACTTGTTATAGAAAGGTCACGTCCAGGTGTTAACTGAATATTGTAAAAAACATCGATTTATGGGAAGGCAGCATGGTTTAAGCCATCAAAGCAACACACTAGGGCACAAAAGGTTGCTGCATGAATACTTGGTTTCTCTCTTTTACCCTCTTACGTTTTGTTTGTTGATACCTTAAGATCTTTATTATTTTAATTACTGCATCTTAAACAATATCCAGTCACACAACTAGCAAGAAATGTTTTTTTAATCGTATGTTCTGCACACTGCTGAATCCTAATGCAACTAGAACGTGGTACTGAGAAAACACACCAGGTTAAGTAACTTCAGATGAAAAAGCATTTAAACAGAAACCTACTTTCCAAAGTGTACCCAAGAACTCAGAGTCGATGGCCTTCTTACTATAATAAAGATTATCCTCCCTTCCCTAGAATAAGTATTTTGGTTTTCTTGCCATCATCTTCACATATTAAATTTTATACATGTCTCATTGTTCTTACATTAAAAACATTTGTGAATTAAAAAAAAAAGTGGAAGTTAATGGTATTCAGCATCCCAGTGGTTGCTAGTGCTAAACTGCAACTTTAAACTCCATCTGAACTTCACAGCTAGGACACACAAAAAACCCACCAAACTAATAATGGAGAGAAATCTCTCTAATTTATCAATTTTTCTATAAACTTGCTATGAACTAAGTAGAAAACCAAACCAATACTGTATCAAATTTCAAAAATTAGAGAGCCAAAAATGAATTATTTCTTCCATAATTAGGGATGACTTGAGCCATGTATTTCCTTACGCCACTTCGGTTTTTGCCATTAGTTTTAGTGGTCTATCAAGAGCTAGACCAAGGGAGTTAGGAGTCTCATTCATATGTAGTGAAGCTAAACATTACAACAGTTTTAAAACTCATGGATACTCAAAAACTATTTACTCTATATTCCAGACATCTGCTTGCCAGGAATAGGCATGTTCATGTAGCTAAACAGTTGTATTTATATCAACAGAACTCAAGACTAATGATGTTCTCCCCTAGGTGGGACATCTCAACAACCAATTTGACTAGCAAGAAGGACGCCATGTCACAATAAACCGTTAGATGAAATCAGTTCTCTTGGCTTCTGTCAGGGTGTAATAATCAGAACAGAAGACGGGAGAAAGCCCCAAGAGTGAATGTACGCTCAACATGCTGAGCACACCGCGTTTGCAGCTTTCAAGGAAAGGCTGAGAGGCTGAACTAGACAGCGATCATTTCACAGAGGAAAGTATTTGTCTAAGGATAAAAACCTCAGACCTGGAGAGCACAGAGAACCACCCTGAAAGTTAATCTAACAATGACCCCATGTGCGCTGGAAATTCAAAGAAGCAAAACTGAAGTTACTCTTCTTATTTGGTTTAAGTCTCCAAATAAAATATTTAATAAGATAGTTTTTATTTCTTGCATCTCTGTCTAGCAAACTTATTCAGCGTGTAGCTGACCTTCTGTCTAGCATCAAAAACCATAGCACACGGGCTGTCACTCCTCCTGGACTGACAACCAGCCCATTACCAATACGCAACTCCAGTCAAGCAGAGCCCAGCACTGCAGCGCAACAACATCAAACCTGCTCCTGTGCCTTTCCCTCCTATCCCCCAAAATAATAATCGTCCAGAAGTCTGCAAAAGACTGCCTTATTTATAGGGACACAGCAAGCATTTCAAAAATTTGGGACATTTAAAAAAATCATTAATTTCTAAGGTTATAGTTCCACTAACAGTCCACATATTTCTCTTTCACATAAAGAGGGGGGGAAAAAAAAAGAAAGAAAAAACATATCAGAGGGAAAACTATATAAAGCATGTAAGGTAAAGAACACTTACATACAGTGTGGGAAAAGGGGTAAGCCTTTGCCACTACAGCCTATAATGCGACATTTTGCCCACAGTACAAAAATACATATTGCTTTAATTCATCTTTCTTTCAATCTTTATTGTCTGATATTTTATCAGACAATAAAACCACTCATCTATTTTCAGTGAGAGGAAGATGATGAGCTTGTCTCTGAGGAAAATAAACTGGAAATAGAGAGATACATGGCAACTAATTAATTCTCTTGCTCAGTACACAGTGACAGACTATAAAGTTAAATGATGTTGTAAAGCAGTAGGAGAGAGAAAGAGAGAGAGAGAAAACTGCTCAAGGATCCTCTATAAGCATCAGTGGAAAATAATTTTAAAAATCAGCTGCTTGTCTACCAACTAATCTAAATTGTCCAAGGAAATGCCTCTTTAGGTTGTCACCATGTAAGCCTGCATTATCCATTTAGCATCAGCATATGTCTAAAATGACTGCTTGTTCTTAAAATTAAAGAAAAAGGCATATTTGCTTTCTAGCTGGTGGAGGTTCCTCTCCGGACAACATTAAATTAAAGCCTTCTCAGACTGGCCTATTGAAAAATATTCTGATGGCAGAAAAACAAAACCAAACCCCACGCAGATCTCAGTTGAAGCTAGTGAATTATTTTTCACCATTTCAGCCAATCTCACAAAGGGGAAGACTGAAGACAACCCTATACATTCCATTTAGACATTAAATTATATTCAAGAGCTTGTAATTAACACAGAAAGTGGTATAGATATGCTATTTGCAACTGCGATGTTATGTTATCCATAAGCAATATTGCACACATTGCTCGAACACCAGCACATCTGTCTGAGATGGAATAGGAATCATCTTTAACACTCACCAGGGTACCAAAGAAACCCACCCTGCAAGTAACTGTCACCCTTCACATCTTGGTATGAATTTTGTTAATCTTACTCACATATTGGTCTATTAACAGGTAACACAAACAAGCCTCAAAGCACCACCAGTGATAAGAAGAGGCATTCAGTTTTCCTCAAAGCAGTATGGAAAGGTGTAACTATTTTCCTTCCATACGTGTTTGGGCTTTTTTATGCCAAGCTTTCACCTGATCTCTAAGGCTAAAAAAGTCTAAGGAGCAATCTGAAATTGTACCGGGTGCCTGTGGCAAGGGGGGAGCTGCAGGGGTGGCGGCTGTGAAAAGATGCCAGGGGCTGCCCCGTGCCGGGCACAGCTGGTACCACAGACCCACTGCAGGACACAGCTGAGCCCATCAGTCAAGCTTGTGGTGCCTCTGTGAAAACATATTTAAGAAAGGGCAAAACGAAGCATGGCTGTGAGGAATGAGGACAAAAGTGTGAGAAGCAGCCCTGCAGATACCAAGGTCAGAGAAGAAGGAGGGGGAGGAGGTGCTCCAGGCACCGGAGCAGAGATTCCCCTGCAGCCCCTGGAAGAGACCATGGTGGAGCAGATGGAAAGGTGCAAGAAGATGGGAGCAGCAGAGAGAAACCGCTGTGTACTGACCGTAATTCCCCGCCCCCCTCCCCCAGCCTGACACCACTCATTGCATCATCGAAGGGACTGAGTCATCACAGGGACTGAGCGTAACCTGGGGTGGTATCAAGGAAAGGGAGCAGGGACGCCAGGAGTGAAGTAGTGAAGCTGGGTGTGGGGAAGGGGGCAGAAAAGGTGTGGTTTTGATGTTTGTCCTTTTGTTTCCCATTAATATTTAAATAAATTGATAATAATTAGGTTAATTTTCCCCAAGTTGAGTCTCTTTTGCCCGCAACAGCAATTGGGAAGCAATCTCCCTGTCTGTACCCAGCCAACAAGCTTTATTCTTCCTGTTTCCCCTACTGTCTCGCCAAGGGGCATGAGTGAGGGGTCATGAGCAGGCAAGCAGCTGGGTGGGAGTCTGGCTGCTAGCCAAGGCTAAGCCACCACAGAAATAAAGTTACTTTCTCTTCAAAAATTTAGTTAGGCCAGTCTGAACAATTGGTAAGCAATCTCCCTGTCTGTACCCAGCCAACAAGCTTTATTCTTCCTGTTTCCCCTACTGTCTCGCCAAGGGGCATGAGTGAGGGGTCATGAGCAGGCAAGCAGCTGGGTGGGAGTCTGGCTGCTAGCCAAGGCTAAGCCACCACAGAAATAAAGTTACTTTCTCTTCAAAAATTTAGTTAGGCCAGTCTGAATTACGGAGACAAACACTTTTCTGAGAAATTTGTATCTTGCACTCAAAACTGAGTTCATTTGTATAGTTGCAACTGTAACTTTTGGAAAGGTTGAAGCAAATCCCATGGTATTTTTAAATAACTTCTAAAATAACTTGAGATACTGCTCTTCCATGACTGTTCATAAAAGATATCTGAATGAACATTACATTTGGAATTAAGTGCAGCATGCAAAAAAGGGGCATTACATTTACTTTTCACTGCTTCTGCAATATGCAGCCAAAATATTTTACTAAATATTAGGATGATCTCTATTAAGTGATACAAGCAACATTTTCATTCTGGAACCTCAAACTAGTTATGATATCTTACATGTGTTTTCTAAAGCAAAGCCTGTTTACAGATACAGATTTCTGAAACTTTGATATAGTCAACCCAAGACTATGGAAATATAAGAAATTTAATCCATTAAAAGGAGACCAAGGTGAACACGCACTGACTGCATTTTAACCAATTCACAGTTCAAAGCTATCTGCTTCCTCAGCGAGAAGTGAAGAAATGCCACAAGGAACTTACCTGCTAACGCTTTTATCACAAAAAAGCTGAAGAGTTTTACTGCTCTGTAGTTTTATTTAAGAAACAGTAACCAAACTACTTTTCTCTTGCATTTTTCTGAAGTATGAAGCACTAGTTAAATTACTTTCAGGGAATCAAAGAGAAACAGTCACAGTAACAAAAAAAAAAAAAAGCCATTCAATTTTTTTATGCTTTACATTATGACAGAATTTCAGCATTCTGGTGTTTTACTGTTTCATACTGCAGTGCCAACACTGAACTTGAAAGAAGTAAAACCAGAGCTGGTGTTTTTTAATTCTTATCAAATACAGAAAAAAAAAACCAAAAATCATTGACATTATCTCAGACCGTTCATTCCTTACCTTCTGTTTCTCTCCTCATTCTCATTCTGTCAAGTTTCTTCTGCTGCTCCCTCAACAGTGCCTGCTGTTGAATCTCTAGAGTGTGGTCATCTTTTGGAGGATCAGGATACATGTGCCTCAAGCCCATACGCGTTTCAGAATCTAGAGCAAAGATAGGAAATTTAAATTTTTCCCTAAACCAACATTTCTGAAAACCATTTTTAAAGAACTAGCTACAGATACAAAAGGCATAAAAAAACATTAAAAGTAATGGTGACAATGGCCAAGAGGATGAGCCACTTTAGCAATGATTTTACAATTTTACTATATTAAAAAAATATATTTTCTGGTAAAAGAGAAACAGAAAGTTACACAGAATCGTAATTTGTTGGTGGATAAAAAAATCAAAACTCAGTCTACTTTCAGTAACATCATAATATCAAATGCATAAGAAGTTTAAGAAGTTTAAGCAGCAAGGACTAGAAGCTAGGTGACTGCTCTGAGTGATAACTCAGCATTACAATGCCGTGAATTGTGTGCACTTGTAGAAACGGCCCCACAGAGATATACACACACACAAAATGCTGTCCACGGAGTATGTTGTGTATGGGCAGTAGCTGTGAAGAGCCTGATTCTTATTTTTGTCTTTAAACCCTCGGTGGTGTGGAAGACAGAGGAAAAGAACAGATGTTTCACTACCTTTCTTCATCAATAACAAGAAAATCTACCTGCCTTTGTTTTTAAGTTCATTAAATTCCCAGATATTCTGTATATTGACGGGATCTTGTGCCTCCTTTGATGAAGGTCGTCTTACTGGAGCCTGCAGACGAAGCCTGGCCATCTCAAATATGTCCTTTGGATTCTTCTCTCTCCTCCCACTTGAAAAGTTTGTAAAATAAGCAGAACATAATTTAACACTGTAATATTAAGGAGTTGGATGGAAATATAATATTGATAAAGCTCACATCTTTTATCCTCAAATAAAGCTATCAAAACAGGAAAATAAATTTGAAAGTAATGACACTGCATATTGTGTTATAAAAAGGGATAACCTACTTAAAATCAAAAAAACCCCTCATACCTTATGGAGTGGACCTAAGACTGATGATCTGATGAGTCTTTTCCAACTAATTGGTATGATTAACTAATACATTTCTGGAAGTAAACCAATTTTTTTAAATAAAAAGGGTATGCTTTTCAATAAGAAAGTACTTCCACAGCAGTATGCTATTCATAAGCATATTCATCAGCAGTGGTACTGCAGTTTACAGGCAAAAATTATGCCCTAGGAAGAAAGGTAATGAGATAAAATTCCGCCTTAGACGTCTGCTTTGGACCACTCTCCAAGACAGAGTACTGCAACTTCCAATCTTACCAGTACAGCCATTTTTAGATTAAACTTTAGTAAGATTCTTGGAAAAAACCCATACACATTAAAAAAAATGAAGAAAACATATATAAGTTCTATCTTTATATTTTCATTTCACTCATGTATATTAGCCAACTAATACTAGCTACTAATACACAGTAGCTTTGAGTTCCTGTGCAAAATCTAACTTTTAAAACTGAAGATGAAATTCTTACCGTGTAATTGGTACATCATCATCACTGGCCACATTTAGCAACTGTTCCTGCAGTCGCCTCTCTTCGCTACGAAGCTGTTTCCTCATCTCTGATAATTCATTTATCACATTCTTTCTTTCCTCTGGAATTTAACACAAATAATTTAAAAATAAAGAGTGTCAGAGACACTTTTCTGCCTACCTCATAAATGTAAAGTTAAAAAAAAAAAAGAGATAACGAACTGTTAATGAAAACAAGGATTATACGAACACAAGAATCGCAGCATTTCATACACTAGAAATTAGGTCAGAGCTTTTATTTTGGGACAGCACAAGGACCAGATCCCCTGAACAGCAGAAAGCATCCAAACTTCAATGGAAATGTTTCGCTGTATTTAAAAAAGGAAAAGCTATGAAATACCAGCAAGTGGGCACTGCCAGTAAGTAGCCTTATTTTGAAATTAGGAAATCTACACAGTCCTCAGAGTCCCAGAGGCGGATGACAGGAACTGAGGTGGTATCAGCAAGCACACAAACCTCATTTCTGTTTCCTGACTCAAAAGTGGGATATCTGTCTGCTCAGTGCAGACTCTCATGAGTGTTCAAGAGTTCTAACTTCAACACTTGTTTTTAGTATGTGCTTACGTTGACTTTTTAGACCTACTTTGGGTCTAAGTTGTTTTTTGTGGTCCGGACAGCATTCCTCCACAAGTTAAACCCGTTTCATAAATTCCTTATTTTCCAAATAACAGGCTTAATAATTTGATATTTTACTGACCTTTAGTCTGAGTCCAGAACCTAGCAGGCAAGCGAGTTTTACTAGCTTAAATCCTCAAACACAAGATTTAATTCATATGTCTATTTCTCTCATGACAGATGGCCTGAGTCAATTGATTTCCAAGAGCTGCATTAAGAACCACTCTGCCTTCCATTTAGTGGAAGAGCCATAACTCCCCAGAATGGACCCAGGTATTGGACTGCTGGGGGTTTGCATTTGTAGGACATCATTTACTGTTACATTCCATGTGTTGTTTCTTTTATACTTGTGAAAAAAAAAATCAGAAGAAAAATTACTGCTTTCCACCCACATATGGCCAAGATAACTAACTTATAAAGAGCAAAGGAGATCCTCCCAGCATGTCTGAATTTTAAAACCACCAGTGAAAGCTAAGAGGTTTAGGCAGATTAACAAAGGAAAGTAGAATTTAATAGTTAGGACTGCAACGCTTTACACATTGTTGGTCTAATCCATTACTCGGCCAATCCAAAACTCTCCCATTTTGCAATGTTCTGGTCACCACTGTCCTGACTGAAAGATCCAGCACTTCCTGTGCAGACTATTCCATTATCAGAGTTTTTACAAAAAAATATTTCCTGATGAAGACACATAATAAATGCATTTTTATTTTGTGTTAATACTTCAGACATACCATACTAATACACTGATAATATTAAGACAGAGAAAACACCCACATAGAAATGCAAACTTTGTAAGTCTATTCCTTTGCAGGCAAGAAAGAACTGTAACTGAGAACAATTTTGTTGTAATAGAAAGTGAGCTTGCAATAAAGACAACACCTACCAAATGCACGCAACTGATTTCTTCTAGCAGGGACGGGTGGAGAAGGAACCCTTGGTTGTGGAGGATCCTAGTGATCAGAATGAATATGAAATGTTAATATGTCAAAAGAAGAAAATATAGCAGACATAAGTACATTTTATTTCTTTTTTTCATGTCCAATTTACATTAACTACCACTACTACTGGAAGACAGAATAGTAACCGTACAGGTTGTTAATGCCTGAGTTTTTTTAAAATCTGATCTTTAAATGTATAATCCAAATTACTATGATAATACCTATAATGCACTATTCAGAGATCTAGACAAAGCTATACCAAGTACTGCAAAGACACAGAAATAAACTGACCTTCCTCCAGAGCATTCTTAACATTTAGGGAAAGCAACAGTTTTAAGTAAGGTTTAAAGTCTTACTTTAAACATTTTCTGAAACTGCACTATGAAGTATTTGCCAAATGATCATTTTCATGACAAATTAATTTTTTAAATTTTTAGCCCAGTTCATACAAACAGTTGGTAAAAAAAACATTTGCAATAAAAAGTCAGAAGTGTAGCTTGAGATTCAAATATCACAGATGATTATTTAATCTACTCTTCACAGGAGAAATTTATTAAAAAAAAAATTGGCCCAGGGAAGATTAAATCAAGTGAAAGAAATGAGTTGTCTCAGGACCACTACTGTAACTCATTCATGATGCAAAGAAGAAAGTGAAGTGTATTAGGAGTTATAATCTTTTCGTACCTTCAAAAACATAAAGATAAGACAATAATGTCTGTAGCTAGGAATCAACATTAAACTTCATGCCTGAGCTAAGCTCTTCTCTGAGTGAACACAAGGAGTTGCTATTAGATCTAAACTTTCTTATCCTAAACCTTGAGATCATTAGACCCTTGGTAAGGGTCTGGACAGAGAACGTACACTCAAAAATGAGGGGCTCATCTCTACAGAAAATGCGCATGCACAAAAAAAAAATTAAAATAACACACCCCTAAAAAATTTCTTCAATACTTCGAATAAAATGGAACATTACATTTCAGAGCTACAAGACTGGCCAATATAAAGACTGTCTCCAGTTATTAGTGGTATTCCAGTAATAACTGGCAAACATTAAAAACCTGGTAGGATTTCATACACTGTACCATCTTAAATAAATTAGTAAAAGTTTACTATAAAAATCATACTTGTGCATAGTAAGATATATGACTCTCAGCAGAGGGAATCCTTTCTTCTCTTCTTATTGATCTGTTCTGAAGAGCAGAAATGATGGGAGAAGGCTGCCTTGAAAACTGCAAGGAGGGAAGCAAGACTGAAACTACATTCCTACAGATTCTGAATGAAGTATTATTTTGGACAGGAAGAGTTTTGTTAATATTTTTCATTTGACAGAAAAATGCTTTTGCTTATCTTAATCGAATTATTTTTGTATTTAATTTGCTTTCAACTCTTAACCACATAAAATTATTGCAAAAATTATTTCATGTGATTTTATTTTCTGCCTACAGTAATCGTAATACTTTTTTCTATGATGTAGTTTTTTAAATTTATGATTAAGTTACATAACTTTTTCTCCTCTAGACAATTCCATTGTATCTGTCCATTTTAGAGAAATGACATGTAGAAATTTCTAGAAGAGAAACAGATCTATAATTCACTTAGATGTTGTCCATCAGAATTCTATGTGATAGACTTCTTACATCATCCAGGTCCAAGGAAAATAATTAAATTACAAAGAACATAATTGTTAAAGATGAACAGTCCTCCCGTCCTCTAAATTATATAACTTTATATATACTTTCAGCAAAAGCAGGCCATGGTACTTCACAGCAGATATAAAAATCAACTATAGAGTGCAGCTTGCTCTTATTTATCTTGGTTTTACTATTTTTTTAACGCAAATTTGATCAGCAAGATGTGTCCACTGTAGTATGTCTGATTTTTGAATCAGCTGTTCTCTGTGTGTGCACTAAGTGTACCGTAGCTTGATAAACTAAGAGGGGAACAATACTGAAGGTAGAGGTGTAAGAAATCATGCAATTTCTTTAAAATTCAGTTATTTCTTAAATTCAGGAAGCAGTATTTGTATCTTAGAAAGTCACTGAAGCATACCATCTTCTTTTCCTCTTCCATCTTTTCTTTCTCAAAATATTGTCTAAGTTGTTCATCTTGCTTTTCTTCTTTTTCTTTTCTTCTTTTTTCTGCCTCTTTTTGCCTCTCTTCATCTAATCGAATTATTTCTTTATTTTTCAATCTTCGCTGTAACATAAACATTATTAGTACATTAAAAAGACTCAACATTATTAAAGTTTTGCTTTCTTTTTCTTTGATGTGTAATTTCAACTTGTCAAAGTGATTAGTATGAAATGAAAAGTATACTTCATGAGGCTGACTTCAAACATTTAAATTAAAAACTATGCCATGCAAATATTAAACATCTGCAGTCCTGGCTCTGCTAACATCATCATTTAACAGGATTCCTAATAATTTCAATGAACACCCGTTTGTGTCCCCAGATCTGCTGCCAGTTAAGGCTAAACTGTAGGAGTCATTTCCAAAAATTCAGATTCAAACAAAACATACTGCAAACATGCACCACCCTATCGCAAGCCCAGAGAGAAAATTATCATCCAGTCTCAATTTTAGTCTTGTCTCTGTGAAAAGCGATGATACCAGTTAGCTTCCTACTCTATACTAGACCAGCTCTATCATCCAGAAGACAAGACTCATCCAACTAACTTGCTCATACTAGGAAAGAGAATCTAGAATATAAGCTAAGCTTTCTGTCTTAGAAATCTTGAAGTCCTACATCCTGAACTGATCTTTCATAATCCTGCAGGGTACTGAAAGATTTTTCCATCTCTGTTGGCCTTGTGTCCTTTTCATACAATTATTTATGAGATTCTGAATTATGCAAATTCATTCAATTTTCCAAACCTGATAAATAAAGCTTTTGGGTTTGAATTAAATCACAAGTTTACCTCCATGAAAAGTATTCGTTAGATTTGCTTGGCATTCTTCCAAAACAAGCAGTATTCTTATCTCAAAGATATATCCTGGCCAATTCAAGAAAAGACTTTACGAACTCTTCCTGTATAGCTACATTCAGAATACAAATAATTCCATGAGAGGTAGATTTAAGAGGCTAACAAAAGAAAAAAAAAGCTGTTGTTTTGGGTTTGTTTTTTTTTTTTTTAGTTCACCAATTTGACACAGCTTTTCACTGGCCTCACAAACAATTTCCTTTAGAAAGGAGAGCACCACTGTCAATTATAAAACTATACAATTTTTCTTAGAATTAACAGTACTTCAAGTTGGTAGTATACCATAAAGAGTGAGAAGAATGTGCTAGTTAATACTGACAATTTTCTACCTCTCCTCTGGTTAATATAGACCCATTTAAAAACAAAAACCAATTCACAGGACACTTCTCAGTTTACCTTCCTAATCTAGAGGACAAATATTACAAAGGGTTAGTTTTGGATGGAAAAAAGTCAAGGTATTAAAATACTACACCTCCTCCTCTTTCTTTCTTTTCTCTTCTTGTTCATTTTCATATGCTTTTTGAATTCTCATCCTCTGTTCAGCTAGTCGTTTTTCTTCTTTTTCTTCTTCCATTCGAAGTTTTTCTCTCTCTGCTTCTTCCCTACATCTCTTTTCTTCAATCTAGAAAATAAAGCAAAGAAGTACTTAACTATCAATAGCCAGCAATAAACTGATGAACAACATCATGATCTTCTATGACTTTTGCAGTACCTACTCGCACAATCAAAGATTGTATGGAGCAACTGAAAGAATTCTAGGGCCAGTCTTACATTTGAGCTTCAGAATTCCTTTAAAGTGAGATGATATTTTACTGTTTCTTTTTGGCCACTATTTATGGAACCACCCTCCAGTAAGAACACTAATTATAAATGCTACTAATAAAACCTGAATATTTCCTAACACTTACTCTACTCCGGATGTGCTGGAATAACACTTTTCTTCACTGATTAAATAATGGAAGATGGGAAACCAAAACAAAAAAAGATATAGCAATTATCTTTTTCCCTTCCACAATTATAATATTTTTAGACACAGCGCTGACCTACTGAAGCCAAAGGTCTGCCCATTCTTTATTCTTTTTGGCAGCACTATACATGGGAAAAAACCTTGATCTTTTCTTTTTAAGAGATCCACATCAAACTACCATATGACATTCGTACTCTTTTAAATTGTCTAGGATTTCCTTGATATTTAATTAAATTGATATTTAATTCTTGTGGCATAAAATTATATGCAAAGTATTATGGACAGAAGACAGAAGCTGGTAGAAGAACAATCACGTTTTATATACCCATCAATAAATAACTACACTATTATTGTCTCACAGATCACCATTTCATTCTGATGAACTTCCATTTGTACCATATGGACTTCCAATGGCAAACATCTTTGTTTCTTTATATATTTATGTATGCAAAATGAAGCCAACTATTAATAGCATTACTGTTATAAGCATTTCTTATGTAAGGCAAAACCTGAGAGACTCAATAGCATATAGCTCTTAGTACACCTCTTGTGTACAGAATTGGCTATGATTGGATAAGGTCTTTGGTCAGCAGTAATGATTTACTTTGATTGTAATCCCTCTTTTTAAAATGTATTTAACCAGATGATAACTGGTGTGCGCATTCACCTGTAGACGAAGAAAGTTCTTGTACGACTCCTGTCGCTTAAGATGCTGTGGAGATGGTGGTTCACCGAACACATTACCTCGAGCAAAAGGAGAGGTCTGTGCAAATGTAAAACCTAAGCGGGGGGGAAGTTACAGAAAAAAATCAAAGCAAATTTAAGACAGCAAGCCAGAAGAAGTGGGAATCTGAGACACTTGTTTGAAAAGGTAGTTTTATGACAGCCGTAATTCAAGGCTATAGCTGAAAACAGTAGCTGGGATTAAAAGTTCTTACATTGCCTAGAATACTGTCAGGTTTTAACTGCTCAATTAATAATGTCCAAGCGAGTTGTCTTTTCACAAAATAATACCTATAAAAGTCATATATTCTACTGTCCAATCTGCAGTTTAGTATCTAAAAATGTTACCTGTAAGTTAATTAGAATAGCAAAGATTTTACATCTCATAACTTTACTGCTTGCAATTACTCTGACTTAGCACACGTAGTTCTGTTCCTTCCGTTTATTCACTCTTTAAAAACTGAACATCCTAACAGAGCAAATATTTAGGTAAAATAGCAACAGATGCTACAAAAAATAAAGCCCAAAACTGGCACATAAAATTCTAAGCAGACAGAAAATTGAATTCTGCCAGTATAAGGTGCTTTCCATACTACGAAGTTTGAAGTGTCAGGTCTCCTTTAACCCTGAGTTACGAATGCGTCATAACCATACAGTCCCAAAAGCTCTAGATAGGTGGAATAACTCAGATACCACACAGAACAGTTTTTGCAGAACAGGATCCCTACAGAAAGCAGAGGAGAAAGGAAGTAAGTAAAGGAAAAGTAGAGTGAGTTGTATTAATTTTTCAGCTGACACAGCATGTTCTTCATTCATATCGTGTCTGCTCCAAAGGACAGTGCCTCAAGGATGTGCAAGAGCCATAGCTCCACTGAGCTGAGATGAACACAGCTGTAGCTGTTCTCATGTTCCCCCGTTACATTTCCCTATATGGTGATGTACCACCCAAGTCAGATGAAAGCAGAAATAATGCATACACTTATTCCCATAGGAATGCACATGCTTACTGCTGCAGCCTAGCCTTAGGAGCATGTGCTTGCATACCAAGGAATACACTTTGAGGTTAGTATTATTTTTCCTTACATGGAATCACTGTTTGAATCCAAAATATAACTAAAATTACATGTGGCTCTTTCAGGATGGATTTACTTCACATGGATATATTCTATGCAAAAAAGCAGAATAAAGATTATACACCATTTGAAAGGCATGGACATAAGACAGACAAGTTACTATGGAAGGTATCAAAGAATGAACTTACTGTGTACCAGCTACTATCCTGCAAGTTCCTCTTTTAATGGGGTGATGTAAAAAAAAAAAAAAAAAAAACCAAAACACAACCACAAAAACAAACAACCAAACCCACCAAAACCTACACTAAGCCACTTTACTGCCTGACTAATCAAATGGAAGGTGCAAGACTATAAAGTTCCCATCACTGGTCCGCACCACCTCCTAATCCCAAAGTAAGTGATCTAACCAGGGGGCTCTCTGCTATTCTGCATTATTACTTTATTGGCCTTGCCTGTTTCACTTCTTACTAAACGGTTAAATATACACTGTATTAGGGAGAAAGAGCAAGAGGGAAGACAGAATGAACAAAAAAAAAAAAATGATTCTACAGCCAGTGGTCAGGACACTGAATTGCAATCATACGAAGTAGATCCATGCCCCAAATACCATGTAATTCTTTATACAGAAGTGCAACGGTTCAGACAGGAGAAAGAAAAGCAACATCTAAGCTGACTTGAGGAGACCACCACCGTTCCTGGCCTTTGCCCATCCCAGACTAGGGACAAGTCTGGAGTACCAAAGTTCTCTCATTTAGGTGTCTCACAAAATGTAAGAGAAAGATGCATTAGTTTTTAAATAGGAAAATAAAATAAAATCCCTAAAACTTGGAGGCAGTGCACAGGGCTGCATGTGTACCCAATTTACCTGTAACTTTTTAGAAATTGTTAACCTAGTTACTGTACCAATTTCATCTTAACCTGTAACATCATACATCTGCAGACCCTCCTCCTCCCTTTATTTCCATCTTCTCTCCTACTATACAGTTGTATTTTACTGTGTTATTTAAGAGTAGAACAAACATGTATGAAGATTTGATTAGATAACATTGAACCCGGAAAACTAATATACTGATCCTGTCTGCTCAGTGCTAAAACAGTTACTAGTTATCATTACTGACAAGACAGATAAGAAAATACATTTTCAGTGCACACAGTGACAGCAATGAAGAAGTTTGGGAAAGAAGCAGGATACTGGCTTCGCAGGTAGAGACCACTAACACTACCATAGGACTACTAGAAAGGAGTAAAGAAACTAGAGAATTTTGATCACTAAGACCTATAAATAGTTAGAGCTGTAATACAGTATTCTTAAAAACCTGCTATTTTATTTGTAGATGCTTCTGTGTTCTCAGGTCTTGGGGAGGCCAAACTTAGATCAACAGATACAATAGCCCTTTTATCTTCATATAGTCTTGCCTCTGGATTATGATATGCATCTTCATTTTGCTTGTGCATCATATTCAAGTCCGCTAAAGGAAAGGGGAAATAACCGTTTATAATATTTTATTCTCATAAAAGGCACGTTCACCATAGATTCTCAAAAATACAGGGATTTTTGAGCAGACTCCACTTTTCCTGAGCATATCAACTATGGGAACAAAAAACTTAAGCAAAGACAAGAATATAGAAGCTCTAGGTGAAATACTAGTTATTAGGAATTCACTGATTAAAAGATTTATTTTGTCGGTTTTCTTTTGCCAGGAATTCTTCACAGCAAACCTCCCCTCTCCCCCGCCCAAAAATGCTATGAAATGGAAAAATAAAGAACAAAAATGACTGACAAGTCTGTGTTGACAAGCATGTATTTAGAAACCACCCCTTCTTCTATTTCCTTAAAGCTGTAAAATACTTTTGAGTTTAGTATTGGTATCTTAAGTACTGAATCTCTATTTGATTACTATTAAGGGCGATAAGCACAATTGAACCATTAAAGTGTATTTTGGTCTTCATGTCTTTAGTAATAATCCAGGTGCAGACTTCTATATGTAAGCAAAACGATGCCATCCAACATTTTTACCAAAATTTACATGGTGCCTCTCAGTTATCATAAAAATCCTGATCAAAGATGTTAATTTCAGCTCATTTTGAAGTGTTACCGTACTATACCTAGAAGGCTCATTTCAAAACGAAAAAGTACTACAGTTTTCAGATTATCTTTTTAAATAGTGTTTCTGATAATTATGAATTACCGTAGTCATTTAAGCACACAGATTCCAAGAACTTTAAATTGCATCCTTCTCTGTAAAGCAGCCTTTGCATACATCAGTCTCAAAAGCTATTTACAGACATTTTCAAGGGGATAAAAAGACAAGTCACACTGCATAAAAAAAGAGACATGGCAGAAAGCACGTTATGTTTCACGACATTTGACTCATAGCTTATCAATCATGTTGCTAAACTATGGTGGGAAAAATAACTTTACATGTGTAACTCAGGAAATCAGGCTAAGAAACTTCTTTCTCTTGGTTCTTCATTTACGGACGGAGATAAGCTTTTCAGCAGGTATATGCAGAACTTAGACTAATATGAGACCCCTACATTTTCCCCTGACCCACTCTACTCACACCATTGTAAAGCTTAGAGAAAGAAGCCAGACACTCAAATGCAGTGCCTAAAGTTAGGCAGTCTGGGGATAAACACAAGCTTGAACCTTCAACACAAGCTTCTAAACTTATTATTTGAGTACACAATCTTTAAAAAGCATTTAAACTTTACCCCCTACCCTCAAACCACACTATAAATTTAGCCATATGTTGCTCAGGTGTCATAAAACTGAAACTAATTATTTATATATAAACTGTTACCCCAGTAAGTGTTCCATGCTTTGAAAATCCTCCTATTTTATTACCAGGAGACATATTTTTAAAATCTGATCAGAATTCAGCATCATATTCCAATAACAAGAAAATCAATTTGTTTCACATTAGAAATCAATCGTTATAAAATTGTAAAACTCACTCATTCAGATGCTAAAGGCAAGAATGAAGAGAGCTAGCACAGGCCAAGATTTCGAAATATACAAATCTAATCATGCCTACTGAGTACTATTTTTATTTTAGGTAAACTATTCCTGTAGGGTTCACTAGGAACCAGGATCAGGAATTTGAGTTTTAATCTTACATCTATCTCTGATTTACTGGAGGGGTGGATAAACAACTTGCCCGGATCATAGCTATCTCTCATCTCACTACTCCCATCTAGTATAAAACAGCACTTGCAAAAAAAATAAACCTTAAAAAAACATTACTGCTGACTGCTATTTATATAGCCATTTACCAGCAGTGTTCCTTGGGGAAATTTAAATATTCTGCTTAGCTTTATTCAAACATGCTTCCATTTTCCATGTCGCAAGTAGAGCTTTCTAAGCCTAGAATTTATTTTAAAAAAGAAAAACAATAAAAAAACCCTGTTCCTGGAAAATGTTTAAATAAAAGTCTTCACAACAGACCTTAGCACATTTGTATTGCATATGTTTCTAACAGCTTGTTTTCCTCCTTCTCCCTTTACCATTGCATTGTGTCTTCACATATAGTTGACATATCCTGTGTTTCCCATTTTGTTCAAATTGTACTCTTCGAATGATTCTCTAGAAATCAAAATAATTACTCACTTAAATATTCCTAGAGTGCATCTGCTTGAAACAAGTACATCTATTTGTCAATAAAGGGCTACCAGTGTTACAAAACAAGGAATAGCATATCTGAACAGAGTCCTTACGAGAGCAAGAAAACAATCTTGAAAAGACAACCCATAATTTTGGCAAACATACTTATCAGATTTCCTTTTGCATCTCTGAGAGGAGCACCGCCACCACCTTTTCCCCAGGGGTTGTAATTCCTCATTTCTGCTTCTAACTTGGCTTCGTAGCGTTCCTTCTCCTCTCTCTCTTGTCTGCGTCGTTCCTCTCTCTCTCTTATCTAAACCCAAACCAACCAGTCAGTTGCATAAAAATGTCACATTAAGTATAATTTTAATAAAAAGTTAATGGAGCAAGCTGAATGCTATCATTACCCATTCCCCCCATCTACATCAAGCAAATCGCAAACATTTCACTGCCTATACTGCAGGCAGTGCATTGAATAAACATGCTTCATTTTCCATGTCGCAAGTAGAGCTTTCTAAGCCTAGAATTTATTTTAAAAAAGAAAAACAATAAAAAAACCCTGTTCCTGGAAAATGTTTAAATAAAAGTCTTCACAACAGACCTTAGCACATTTGTATTGCATATGTTTCTAACAGCTTGTTTTCCTCCTTCTCCCTTTACCATTGCATTGTGTCTTCACATATAGTTGACATATCCTGTGTTTCCCATTTTGTTCAAATTGTACTCTTCGAATGATTCTCTAGAAATCAAAATAATTACTCACTTAAATATTCCTAGAGTGCATCTGCTTGAAACAAGTACATCTATTTGTCAATAAAGGGCTACCAGTGTTACAAAACAAGGAATAGCATATCTGAACAGAGTCCTTACGAGAGCAAGAAAACAATCTTGAAAAGACAACCCATAATTTTGGCAAACATACTTATCAGATTTCCTTTTGCATCTCTGAGAGGAGCACCGCCACCACCTTTTCCCCAGGGGTTGTAATTCCTCATTTCTGCTTCTAACTTGGCTTCGTAGCGTTCCTTCTCCTCTCTCTCTTGTCTGCGTCGTTCCTCTCTCTCTCTTATCTAAACCCAAACCAACCAGTCAGTTGCATAAAAATGTCACATTAAGTATAATTTTAATAAAAAGTTAATGGAGCAAGCTGAATGCTATCATTACCCATTCCCCCCATCTACATCAAGCAAATCGCAAACATTTCACTGCCTATACTGCAGGCAGTGCATTGAATACTGTTGTCAAAACATGCACGTCCAGTTGTGCATAAACACAGAGAAACATGCAGATACACCTTGTAAGACTTCCAAGTTCCAGAAATGTTCACATCTGACACTTGCAGTAGATCAAAAGTCCCATATCTTTGAATCTTTGATACAGAAGTTTATACTGCCTGAAAACTAAACAGGCAAAATTCTACAATACTACAGCACTAGCTTCTCTCAACCTGGTATATTTTGTTTAACCAAAACTTAGACTAGAGATGACATGAGAGAAAGACTCCTAACAATGAATGCGTTAATAGAATGCTACACAATTCTATAACATTCATGAAATAGTTTTCTGCAGTAATACAGGATGATCTATGCAAATAACACAGAACTGTTCATATGGTTTGTTCTTCCTTTTCTTCAAAATCAGGTTAAATTTATATGACTAAGTATCCTAATATCTTAATGTAGCATTTACAAAGAGAACAGCTGTTAAAAAAAAGTCCCATCTTCTATTCAAAGCTTTTAAAACATCAGCTACTATTTATGTAGCTGAAATCTATTAATGTATTTTTCTTAAGTTTGTTTCTTCTGTGCATTAGATGAACATTTCCCTTCATCAAGTAGGCAGAAAATTTCTTAAGAGAGATAATGAGTCAACACAAAGACGCAGCTAGCCCCTTCACCTGTTTACAAAAATGGTCAGTCAGGTTTGTCTATAGGAAAAAAAAGCAGAATACCTTCTGTTCACTTTCAACCATAAGCAGCATAACAACTTTGAAAGACTGTATCGTGCCACGTTTATTAGACTTTTATGTCAAATTGTGCAGTCTCTCATATGGCAAGATAACATTTACTTCTTCAGACTATAGTTAGAAAATGCCTTCAGAGAAGTGTAAGTGCAATATCAGACACTATTCCTAAATGTCTATTTTATTCTTAATTTGACCTTGATTGGCAGCCTCTCCTTTATCCCTATGCACAATCATAATTAGAACTAAAATATTTTTATAGCAATTATTTACCTCCACTGAAGAAATACATAAAGAAGAATAAGATAAGAAAAACGTTAGTGCCACTGAACTGGGTTCTAGCAAAATCTCTTCTGAAATAACATGTCTTATCATGGTCAAATACATTTTATGAATATAAACTCCCACAAGGTGCAGCAGCAAAAGGCCACTAAAATGAGTAGGGGACTAGGACATCTACTGGAAGACAGGAGAGACGAATTTTGTCTAGTCTATCAAAAAGGAAGCTGAAAAGAGATAAGACACCACCTACAAACACACTGGAAGTAAACATTAGGGAAGATTTTGAATTAGGATCCAAATAATCATGAAGAACTTATTGAAATTAGAGTGTTTCTAATAATTATAGCAATAATGCTCAAAAGCAATCTTTCAATAGGAATATCAGAGCAATACAACTCATTGCTTTAAAGATGCAGGTTCTTATGTTTATGAAAATAATTATATAAAACTCCATGCCTGGAACTAATCTGTTTGCTGTCAGTCTTAACATTCTCTCTGCCTCGGACAAAAAAATTGGAGCGCTTACTGTCCACCTGAAGAGCTAAAATGAGCTAAAGCAGGGTCAGAGGAATGGGAGGAAGAAAGTGATGAAGGGAGGGAGAGTTAAGAAAGCTTTTTACTTGTAAACTAAATAAATATGTTTGAAAGAGTACTACAGTTACAACCAATATATGTTAAAAAGTAAAAGAAGAAAGCATCAGAAGCTTTATCGCTCAGTACCTGCTGTTGTAATTCTTGTTGATAAGATAATGTTGCCTCTTTGGAAGGCTTTGGTTTTTCTTCAGAAAATAATCCTATGCTTCTTTGTCTGTCTCCTGTATTCCTCTGTCCAATGTTACTTCTGAATTAGAAAACCACACACATAAAAGGAAAACATCACAAGGACGGGGCGGGGGGGGGGTTTAAAAAAAAAATCCCTGCCTGAAATATTTAAGAGCTGTTGTTTTCCACAGCCTGGAAGTTTATAATCTCAAACATTTTCATAAATCCATATAAAAATAGGAGTTCACTGAATTATTGTTTAGCTAGAAATTCTTAATTAGAAGTTTGAAGAGTTGTCTTTAACACACTTTATTTCAAAGGCATATCTGTTGTCAGCAAAATATTCCCAACATGAAAAGCGTATTTATCAATACAGATAAATACAAACAAAGAATATGAATACAGATAATACTTACACAGATTGCTCTACCGGGGCTTGGCCTAAAGGAAGATCCAGATTAGGTGTGGGTTGCATTCCCATCATACCTGTACCATCTACACAGTAAAAAAAATACTATTTTAAATTTTGAATGCTCAGATAGAAACATTTGCCATTACCTAAAAGAACAGAGCTCACTGCCCAAACTCTGTGACTGCAGAATTACAAACAGGACTCTCAACTTCTATAACAAACTTCACTAATCCTTAATGCCCGCTAAAGCAAGAAATATAATGCCAAGGTACAAATCTATTTCTTAAATTCAACTAAATCCCTTTAAAATTTACAAATGTCTTCATTAACATATTCTACAATGAACTAACAAGAAGAAATAACTCGCTTAATGTAACACTTGTCTTCATGCTTTCCAAATGTGTCCTCTATTATGAGGAGAGCCCCTTTGCCTCCTGCAGAAATGCAGTACATTTGGCATCTACACCCTTACTGAAATAGGACCTGCAGCACTCTGCCACAGCAGGGCTTGAAATTACTGTGCACACTACTGCTTGTGTTCAAGACAGTAAGATGCATCTCTAAAACAATTTCACACTTTCAATTTTAAGCACTAGTAATATTCCAGTTTGTGACAACAAGCTTGAAGACAACCTAACTCTCGTATGTGAATTTGAAGTATTAGTTTATTTAATACTCTAAACTGTAAGTCATCTTACCCTAGAGGTTATATTGATACAAGGGTAAAAAACCCGAACAAACAACAAAACACCAGAATAAAACACCAAAAAAAACCCCACACCAAACAAACCCAAAAAAACCCAAAAACTACTGTGAGTTAAAACTGTGGTCTGAAAATAAGATTACAAAGAAAAGGTAAAAAAGGTGCCTGGAACTAAAAAAAAAAAAAAACAAAAAACAATTTAAAAAAATTATCATCTTTCTCAAACCATAAGATATTACATTTCAAGATAGGGAGAAATTTACACTGGAGATAAAAAAACAAATCTAAAAACTTTTGCTCTTAAATCTCTAACATTCCTGAAATTCCCCAGTGGATACAAATCTCATTCAAATCAACCAGTAAAAGAGTAGTTGTTATTATTATAAGGTTTTTTCTCCTTTAACTTTTCTACGAAGGTAGCACAACGATTTTTTTAAAGTATTTCTGGTTTTCCTCTAAAGAAAAAAAGAAAAAAACAAACAACACACAATCCAGTCCCTCCCCACACACATCACAGTTGTTTCACTTGTGAAATCATCATGAAGCAGTCAAAGGGTAGAAGGAATTCTTAAAAAGTTTGATTTCTTCATACAGTTCCTTTAAAAATATCTAAAATTATATCTGAAATTGTAATAACACCTAAACATGTAATCAATTATAATATGATTTAAGCAATTTTAGAAAATAAAGGTTTGATTATCAAAACTATAAAGAAAATTATCTGGGAGGAGTAATGGCTAAGTAGCCAAGACTAGAGCTTGTTCAAGCGATGAACAAGATGTCTGGAAGCCATAGCCTCTTTTGCAGTTGGAGAAAACAACTTCATTCAAAACCAGTATTGAAAAAAAGCCTACTTTTCATTCAATACACATCTAAAAAATGGGTTTAAATTCCTGTTACTAGTCCTACATTATTCATCATTTAACTAGATGAAAAGCAGTCATCTGAATCACTCTACCAACCAATCCACCTAAAATCATCAACTTACAATACGCAAGATTGGGATCCAAAGGATTCCTAACCCCATAAAAGTAATATGCGTCATCATAAGGCGTTCTATAGTTGTCTGTCAAAACTGGTGGTGGAGGTGGCGGCATCGGTGCAAGCCTCAAAGAAAAAAAGAACACAATTTTTTGTTTTGTTGTACAACTGAAAAGAGAGATCATCAAAAGAAGAAAGAAAGGCGAAAAAAAAGAGAGAGAGAGAGAATTCACTGTAGGATAACTCTAGATTTAGCTCAGCCTAAGACCTCTCATTAGTGCCATGCAGGAACAAGATACAATAAGCCTCAGTAGGAAATTAACCTTCCCTTAGGGAGCAGTACATGAACCCATACTATTTCAGAGATCTAAAGAACATAAAACAAGCATGCCTTCTTTAACTGGTTCAGTTAATGATACTTACTGGTTACATCAGTAACAGTAACTAAAACAAGCCAAGGATTAGTCTCTGGTCAAAGGGCAAGTGGCCTAAAGCTCCTCTCTCCCAAAACAGTTTAGTCGCAACCACAGTGTCTAGCTGAAGCTGTCCTTGCCTACGCTGCATTCCTGAGCTTAGCCCTGGGAGATCGCTTAATTGATAGGGGCCAAATTCGTGCCATACCAGCCTTCTAACTATATGGACACTGCTAAAAATATGGCACTCTTGCAACACCGTTCCATATTACAGCCATGGACGTCATTTCTACAGCACGACTCTTATCCTACACAAACAACCACTAAGTAGTAATAACATGCTTAGCACCAAGCTTATTTAACATGGAAAATGAACATGATGGTGAACCACCTGGGAGCTGCTATTTCACCAAGAGTGCTGGCTAGGCCCCTGTGAAAGTCTTCATTCACTGGAGAGGCTGAAGGGATGGGCACCGGAGTCTGGAAAGCCACCCTAGGCCTTTCAGGAGGTACTTTCTCTTCAGAAGCTCTTGCTGTCAAGCCAAACTGCTTCAATCTATTTGGCTGGGGAGGGGGGGGGGGGAATAGAAAAAGAGAGAAAAAAAGCAGTTACTTTGTTATTACTAGGAAATATTCTGAACCTCCATTTAGGCTGTGTTAACCACTTCACTGGGTCCCAACTAGCTGTTCAAAATTTCTAGTAATTGCATTTTTTTCTCCCAAGGAATTACTGAAAATCTAATACTACAAGGAAATCCAGCATGTTTATCACAGATTTACAAAATCCAGCCTCTGTGGCAGGTTTCAGGAAGTGTATGGTTCTAGTTATTATCCAGGAGAAAAAAAAAAAAAGAGTATTTACACAGTAAATAACCTGTAGTACAGGTTATCTACAACCACCAGTGTCTTACACTGATAGTGTTATCATATTATGCATAGGAAAAGTTTCTAAAATACACCCCCAAAAAAACCCCTAAAATAGCTAATAATCAGTAAAAACAAAAACAAACACACACTGAGACTTTTTCCAATAAACATTTCCTTGCAATACTGTTATTTCCTTTTTGGGGTTCCTTTGATTTTATTAGCTTTTGCAACCACAACAATTACAAAATTTTGTGGTGGGTGTGGTTTTTTTTTTTTTGAAGTTCAAATGTTTATTGATAACTGGCAGCCTCAGAAAAAATAATCAGTAAAAACAAAAACAAACACACACTGAGACTTTTTCCAATAAACATTTCCTTGCAATACTGTTATTTCCTTTTTGGGGTTCCTTTGATTTTATTAGCTTTTGCAACCACAACAATTACAAAATTTTGTGGTGGGTGTGGTTTTTTTTTTTTTGAAGTTCAAATGTTTATTGATAACTGGCAGCCTCAGAAAAAAGTCAAAAGGCAACATGCAAGTAATGCAAAGGCATGCAAGTCAGTTAGTTTCAGAACTATCCTATCACACCCAGAAAGCCCTTATACCAGTTGCTATGCATAAATATGTTAATATTTCTTGAAATGAATCAATATAATAGAAGACCAGAAAAAATTCATACATTGTATAACACATTTTTTTTTTTTTCTGAATTTAGTGGTCCTAACATTATAGTGCTTCAATTAACATGCATTCAGAGAAAGTAATACCAGCAACCAGCTAAATATCTAACAGCAAACCATATACCCTACAATATGGAAGTATTTCAGCAAAATATTAAATCTTTACCTCCTCATCACTTAGCTGCAAGACAGTATATACAAGGCAGTTAGTACTCACCAATCATAAACTACAGCACTAAGATTAAAATTCACAAAATCTACTAGACATGAATATTTGTTTATAACATTTAACTTCAAATTTCTAGATGTGAATACAAAATTAGATAATAGATGAGCTACAGCAATTGAAAATTATAAAGCAGTCCACAGACTTTTTTTTTTTTTTTAACTTGTCTTTTCAAATCCAGTGTCTTGAGCAGGAAAACATTTAAAACAACCTTTCTCACTAACAAATTTGATGTGAACTGTTCCCTAAGTGCCCCAGATTTCAGGTCTGTAGTTAATTTCAGATGTGACTATGGTACTTAGTTCATCCTGGGCATTGTTTTCTTTTAAACAAGCAGTATATACAACAGTCTACATTTATAGATTCTTAATCAGGCATTGCTATTTAACCAACCTGTAATTAATCAAGAAATCCACCTAATTAGAATCCCTCCCCAAGAGGCAATCTAAAGCTAACAGTGACTGCTGCTTAATGAATGTAGCAATTCTACTTAATTGAAGGCTTTCAGCTAAATTAATGGTTTTAAAACATTATACGTGCCCTGCACTTGCTCTGGATATAATTTTGTTCCTACAACAGGCACTTTTCAGTCTCTGAGATGCTTATGGTATATAGAGTGCTTCAGCACAGCATGCTTCTGCCTAGTCAGCTTTGATTAGACAAAACTGTTTACGCTGACCTTACAGCCTGCTGTGCCAAAAGAGCCGGCATCCTCTGCTCAGTTTTTCCTCTTTTCCTGCCTGGCTCCCAGCTGTACACTCCATCCCTCTCCCTTTAACCATCTGAATCCCTGATTAGCCAACTGACCTCTCTAAGCCAACTAAAGCAGCAAAAAAGATTCAGATTTTTGCCAGCTAACCAAGCTGAATCAGTTCACGAAAGGGATCAAACAAGCACCACAGATACTTTAAGCAGAAAGGGCAGGAACGTGCACCCAGACCACTTGTCAGTGTTCTCCCTCCCCATTTAGGAGTAAGAATTTTGATTCAGCTGCGTTGCCTATCTACGTGCATTCTCAGTCTCCTGCCTCACATGCTGACTAACAGCATCTTACATTGATTCATCTTCATTTTCTAGAAAATAAGAGCTCCTTTCACCTCTGCTGAACTCTCCAGAAATGGCACAAGTTTCTTTCTGTGTTGTAGCCTCCCCCAAAAAACAGCACTGTTGATAATTTAAACTGGTAACCAGTTAAATTAATAACCAGTTTATTCCTGCTTGAGAAAGTTACCCATCCTACATCTCCAACAGCAGATCTCTACTGCACCCAAGATGCAATGGCTTCAGGCACTTAGCAAACACACATGCAAATCATACTAGTTCTGTGACAATCAGTCTGCTACTAATGTTACTAGTGCTGACAATCTACTCTTTCATATAAGCTAATCAAAATTCTTAGTACAATAATCACCTTACCAAGGAAGTGGAGACAGTAGTAACTCTGCATTAAGTCTTACAAGCCACATAATATTAACATCTTGCTTTTTACAAAATCCTAGAAAAATGCCTGTAATCCTGAACACTACATTTGATAGTTTAAAAAAGAATTACAAATTTGAAATTAAAAATTGCTACAATGAGATCAACTCAGCTGCAAAACAACTGGATTTTTTTTTTAATTGAAAAAGAGCAAAAACTTTTTGCAGCATACTTTACATTCCCAAGGAAAGGTTACTAATGTGTGCATGTACAGGCTACCACTGGATGCCAAGTATTTTTTCTATGATACGCACTGCTTGTACAAAATTGGCACTTGGTCACAGCAAAAGAGTATGTTCGATAACTTCCGTGAAAATATTTTTCTCTTAAGCTGAAAGCATATGTAATAAGTTACAGCCTTATCATCCTTGGCTTCGATTTTATTCTATGCTAATGCCCTATTAGAAAAAAACACAACATTTATCATTCTATAAAAGCCCTACAGAGTTTTGTGACTGAGCAACCACAGTGTACATGTACTAAAAAAAGTCTATATAGGTGAAAGAAAATCCAAGTTCCTCACCTTCTTTTCTGGGTCTCGAGCTCCAGAAGCAGCAACTGAGAGCTCAAGTTCCTTCTCACTGTTTTTGTTTTAAAAAAGAAAAAAAAAGGATCAAATCAGAAAGCAGTAACAACTGTATTCATTCTTTCAAATGACATCACAACTCTGTATTTAAAATCACTCTGAAAATACAGGATAACAGAAGACATGATTCCACTTGATTTCTTCTCGAGTCAGGGAAGAAGGACACTGTATATTCTTTGTAAATAAACAGAACTCTCAAGAAGTATCTGGCTATCATCTATTCAGCCTAATAAAAATCCAACTACCATAAAAGGACAAACCACCGCATTGCTTTTTACTACAGCTTTTCAGGACATTTCTTAAAAATTGATCTTTAGTCATGTTACAGCAAGAATTTTATAATAAACATATTGAAATGAATGATTCAAAAGTACAGCAGTAAGTACTATATTGTAATTTCAGGGCTCAGGCTTGTTCAGCATGTACAATTTTTCATCACAGTGAAACTGTCAACAGTAACCTATTTTTAATTCCTTATCCATTCACTAATATCACTGTGTGTTTTTATGTATCGATATTACCATTCAGCAGGCAGCTACTAATAGGTAAGCAAGAAATTTTTATTTTATTATTCTGCATAAGCCAGATGGTCAAGTGCTTTGAAACTGAATGGTTACTTTCCTAAATTGGAAAACAAAACAAGCTTCATTTTCAACTTTGCAAAGTAATTAGACACTCCTCTACCAGCAAAAAAGATAACTTCAGTTAGAGCTTCTTTACCCTTAAGAAACTAAAAAAAATTTTTTTTAAATGAAAAAAATCTGGTTTTTCCTTTGTTCCATTGAAAGCTGGTGAATTTGTTTATTAAAAACTAAAGCTCTCATGCCAATGAGTTTAGTTGGATGCAATATTACCTAGCTAGCTGGAAGTGATCGTGCCCCTGTACTCGGCACTGGTGAGGCCGCACCTCGAATACTGTGTTCAGTTTTGGGCCCCTCACTACAAGAAGGACGTCGAGGTGCTGGAGCGTGTCCAGAGAAGGGCAACGAGGCTGGTGAAGGGTCTGGAGAACAAGTCTTATGAGGA